TTTTTGACGCTCGTCTCTGAAAATGTTTTATTTTTCATTCGCCCTGAAAAGGTTTTCCCGGTCTTTTAGCGAAAATTGTCGGCCTTACTTCATAAAACATTTATTCCGGCATTTGAGGAAAAGATAATTAATGCCGCAAAAGTTGTCTCTTTTGTTCCGGGCGGGTAAACCACCGGAGGCAACTGTTCTACACCTTTAAATAAATAAATTTAACATCGGGATGAAGTGGCTAAAGGGACTATAATATGAGTTTCAAAAATTTAATTCTTTGGATCAGTTTAAAATACAAAATTCATCTGCAAAGTACTGCATGTAACATAATTTAGTTTTCTGAAAGATATTTAGACATTTAAAGATTTTTATTGTGTCAACAGTGTCTTTGGTATTTTTTTTACAATTTTTATTTAACTTGCTTTGTTAACTATACAGGGTTGTTCACCACATACGACTCGGAGTATTGTAGCTAAACGATTAGATTTTTACAAATTGTAAGTTTTGGGTTCGTTGAAGGACTATTAGAGCTACAATTTAAAAATATTTATACAAGATACAGAGTGTCCCAAATAAATAAAAAATATCAAAGTTGTATTTTTTTAAATTGAACACCCTGTATATTATTGCATTTTTAGTTTCTACGATTAAAATAAAGGTAAATTTGATTAAGGTTTATTACACTTAAACCTTACCGTTTTTGAAATATTTTCAATTTTGCGAAATTGCAGTATAAATTTTAAGGCTTCATTTCTCCGAGGATATCAAAATTTTTAATACTAAATATTTACTGAAGTTTATTTATTGATCAGTTATTGTGTTGCAATAATAAAAATTATACTACCTTATATAGAGTGTCTAAAAATTTATTTTAATTAATTACTAGCTTTAAACGGCAATAACTTATTTATTTTAAATAGAACACCCTGTATATTTTATGAGAATCAGATGCACAATTTAAGTGTCTATCAAATTGTATTACAGCTTGGAGCATTTAAAGATGCTCTCTGAAAGTAATGTAGAACTCCTGCCTGGTGCTTACAAAAAGAGCGTAGTCTATTTTCCTATTTTGGAAATGACCTCCCCTATCTCCTGTTTAAATTTGATCCATGACTTGGATCCATGGGACACCCTCTATAGTAGCACACTTACATCAAAATAACATGTAATAAGTAAACTCCAGGTACTTATATACCTACTTACGAAATGAGGCGTATTATTCTTACGAAATTTTATAATCCAGCAAGTTGAGGTTAGGTTTTCATATTCTTTAATCCAGTTTTTTATATAATTTTCACATAGTAAATTAGGGCTATTCTAGAGGTTGATAAGTTAAGCCCCTTAGAAACTGATCTTAGCGCAAAACAGGCAGCGCTTAGTTTCTTTGATAGAGCTTCGATGTGAAAGTCCCATTTTAACGAGTAGTCTACAACAAGTCGTAAGAATTTCACAGAGTCCACGACGTCATTAGTGGTGTTATTAAGTACAAAAGGTTGCATAGTACTTTTATATGACAAAATACACATAGTAAATTTGCTCTATAAGTTTTTTCACCTACATTCGAATATACCGTGTGCGTCTCAAAAGTGGCTCACCCCTATAACATTTTTACTTTTTTAGATAAAAAAACGAGACTTGGTATGGTAGTATATCACCTAAATTAGGATTGATTGACGCATTCAATTGTTTTTGGTGACTTCCTGTTTCACAGAAATGCGGGAAAGAATGAAAGCGACTTGATATTCAAAGGCAGATGATTGTACATTTTTTTGGCATTGTACAGTATTGAGCCTTTAACTAGTTCTGAGCTCAGGGTTGGCAGATAAAGATCGTGCTCCTCATTCCTAAGTGGATTTTTAAGTGATGGCCTTTCGGGAATAGCAAATATGTGCTTGCGGATTAAGCAAACGAATTCAAAAATGAATAAAGAAGGAAGAGTCAGTATTTTGAAATTTTTAAAGAAATTCTGGCAGTGAGTTCTACTGTTCATTCCCAATAAATATCGTACCTCTCTCTTTTGAAGTCTGAAAATACGATCAAATTTTGTTGCGCAGCAAATACCCCAGATTGGAGAATGGAAGGGCATAACGAAGATGTGACTCAAAAAGGGCATAATATAATAAGGGGTATTCTAGAGGTTGATAAGTTAAGCTCCTTAGAAACTGATCTTAGCGCAAAACAGGCAGCGCTTAGTTTCTTTGATAGAGCTTCGATGTGAAAGTCCCATTTTAACGAGTTGTCTACAACAAGTACTAAGAATTTCACAGAGTCCACGACGTCATTAGTGGTGTTATTAAGTACAAAAGGTTGCATAGTACTTTGATATGACAAAATACACATAGTAAATTTGCTCTATAAGTTTTTTCACCTACATTCGAATATACCGTGTGCGTCTCAAAAGTGGCTCACCCCTATAACATTTTTACTTTTTTAGATAAAAAAACGAGACTTGGTATGGTAGTATATCACCTAAATTAGGATTGATTGACGCATTCAATTGTTTTTGGTGACTTCCTGTTTCACAGAAATGCGGGAAAGAATGAAAGCGACTTGATATTCAAAGGCAGATGATTGTACATTTTTTTGGCATTGTACAGTATTGAGCCTTTAACTAGTTCTGAGCTCGGGGTTGGCAGATAAAGATCGTGCTCCTCATTCCTAAGTGGATTTTTAAGTGATGGCCTTTCGGGAATAGCAAATATGTGCTTGCGGATTAAGCAAACGAATTCAAAAATGAATAAAGAAGGAAGAGTCAGTATTTTGAAATTTTTAAAGAAATTCTGGCAGTGAGTTCTACTGTTCATTCCCAATAAATATCGTACCTCTCTCTTTTGAAGTCTGAAAATACGATCAAATTTTGTTGCGCAGCAAATACCCCAGATTGGAGAATGGAAGGGCATAACGAAGATGTGACTCAAAAAGGGCATAATATAATAAGGGGTATTCTAGAGGTTGATAAGTTAAGCTCCTTAGAAACTGATCTTAGCGCAAAACAGGCAGCGCTTAGTTTCTTTGATAGAGCTTCGATGTGAAAGTCCCATTTTAACGAGTTGTCTACAATAAGTCCTAAAAATTTCACAGAGTCCACGACGTCAATAGTGGTGTTATTAAGTACAAAAGGTTGTATAGTACTTTTATATGACAAAACTTTAGTTTTTGATAGGTTGAGGCATAGGAGATTAGAATCGCACCAAGATTTAATGGTGCGTAAGTCACTGGATATAGTATCATATAGTGCCGCAACATCTGGGCCGCTCCAAGTGAAACTAGTATCGTCCGCGAAGAGGCAGATTTTACCGCTAATGTCTAGATTTGCAATGTCGTTGATAAACACCAGAAACAAAATAGGGTAAAAAGATATATTAAAGAACCAGCTTTCTTAAAATTCTCTCTCGAAAACATTACTAGCTCATAGACTATAAGTAAAACAGCGAAATCGTTATGGAAATGAAAATATAAAATGATACCAGTCACAAGAAAATCGATGAACGGAGGCATGAAAGTGCAATAAATTTAAAAACTCCGTAATTATCTAACCAATCCAAGTCTTTAAAATCAACCAATAAAATTAATATCGTATCATCGTATCGTCGGATAACGGATGCATAAAAATCAAACTTAAATCATATATTTTGCATAATAGAATAAATATCTAATATACTCTGTTTTTTTTTTCTCAGGTAAGATTTCGACAGACGATGACAGAAGAAAAGCAGATGACGTCCCATACCAATCTATTTATTTTACTAAAAAAAGTTTCTAATAATTTTAAAGTTATCTATGGATGGGTTTAAATATAAATCCGTCATGCGTCGTGTCTTGTTGTTTTTAACCAGTTTTATTGGTTTATTTAAAAAATGACAGATCGTATTTCAATTTTATTGGTTTGACGGAACGATGAACGACAAACGGACGCCGATGCGTATGAACTCGCCTTTAGATTTTTGTCATTTTTGACGCTTGTCAAAGTCTTGCCAAATTATTGGTTATAATTTTGTGTCAACTTTTGTTAAATACCCTGCATTTTGAAAGATGATGCATTTTGATTCGTATTATTACGTGTGTTTTGTGTCTTTTGAAGTCAAGTGGAGGAAAAATCGAGTGAAAATTAACTGTAGGCCCAGAGCACAGTTTATGGTTAATACACGCTGCCCAGGCAGAAAGTCTTATACACCAATGAAGTTGCCATCGATAAAGTTTGTATACCATTTCGTCGTAGATAAGTGCATTTCGTATATAAGGATCAAACTAAACACATACTAAAAACTGGAGTAGCTGTAAAATATCGACATCACACGATAGGTAAATAATGGATTTTAGTACTGGTGCAGAAAAATAATGTCAAAAGGTACTGGTTTAAAAAAATTAAGATTAAAGGTAATTAATCCACCTTTAAGGTATAAAATTTGGTAGGTGTTATTATTAATAAAATAGTTGTTGTATTTACCTATGTTGTTTTATTTATACCTGTGGAATATTACAAATTTGTATTTGTACATAAGTTATATTGATAAATATAATCATAAATGCGGGTAGTTTCATAAAGCTTGAAAGTAAATAATAGTTATTTTTTATATTTTTTTGGTATGTAGTGCCTTGTTCTTGTTTGTTTTGTATTAACACATACCGTTTTTATTAAATAAAATAACTCGATTACATTTTTTCAGTTTTATACAATTTTGAAGTAATCACTTGTCATCTTGTCAATCAAATTTTAAATATATCCTGCTATGCGTTCCAGTTGTACCAACTTATTTCTTTGTAAAATAAAATAAACTACTTTGAAATTAAAATGACAGACACATCTATCACTGTCAAGGATCTTCTCGTTGGACAGACTATACATTAATTCTTCTTACGGTATGACAAAAAATAATTATTGTCTCTAAAATTTTCAAGCGTAATATAAATATGCTAAAGGAACAGAACATAACGGAAAATTCCCAACTATTACAATACATATATGTTTGCAGCCATGCAAACAACGTCTATTCAGATAGGAATCTTACCTCGTACGGAATATGGAATTGCTGAACCAAATTGCACTCGAGGAACATCCTTATTGTTGCCTTACAAGTGTCTTCGTCTGATAAATCGAAGTCGATGAAGGTAAAGCTGAAAAATACAATTCGAAATGTCAGATAAATGTGCCATCGTGTCGTAAATCTTAAATTGCTTAGAATGGGGATGCGAGTGTGTTGTGTTTTTTTATTGCGTTGGTTTTGGAGTGCTTTTTATTGTATTTCAACTGAGTAGAGCTGACGCGTTTTTTTTTCTGTTAAAAAACTTCTTTTCACTTTTCTTTTTCAGATAATGTCGAGTATAACCAAGGAGATCAATATGTAAGTACTTTTATTTGATTTTTTTTAACGACAAAGATAGTTCGAAGAGCTTTGTGGATTAATTTTTATTATTTACAGTAGGATATTGTTTTATTATAAGTAAAAATGATACAGCGGCGATGCTGTATGTTTGACGACATTACAGGCGAGGCTCAAAACGTCATTTTTACTCCGAATATAACGTGTTATTTTTTTGTTTTTTGTTTACAAAAATTTTTCATTTGTTTTACAAACAATTTCATATGTTGCAAATTATATAAAAAGATTTAAAAGTAATACCTTCTAAGTAATTATACAGGGTAAGTCTTAAGTAAGTTCAGGACTGGTAGATCTCGATGAACGAATTATATTTTCTCCTCACCGTGTTTCAAATAACCGAGTTATTTTACTTTGAAAATGGGCTCTTTCGCAAAAAATAAAATACCCAATTCAAGGACAAAATCTGAAATAGAAGACTATTTTCAGTATATTTATCAAAAAAAAATAGTTCCATGACATTGAATACGTTTTTTATAGGCCGTCAAAATTGCTTTAATTTGAAATAATTTTAAAGTGCCAATTGATGACGTATGAAAAATACGCCCAATCACATTGCAGAACCGTGCTCGTGCGCCAGCCAACAACTGGCAACATTGCGATTTGATTTGACCAGCACCACCTCAACTCAAGGCAAATCAACATGATATGGGCAAGGCAAATATGGCGGCGAAGGCAGCACATTATTAAATTGTTTACCTTTAACCTGAAAAGCCGGTAGTGGTTTCTCGTTCTGATTGCATACCAGAAATAATTAATTATCTCTAGTTTGTTGTGCTTCTGCAACACGTTTGTTTAGTTCTTAGTGTTCAGTGCATGGTGTGATCAGAAAATTGTGATAAAATAACAGTGTAATAGAAATCCAAACCAGACATTCCACATAGAGAACTTCAAACTTTTGTGCTTGTCGTACTCCTCTATTATTAATTATTTTAAGGTAAGAACTAGAAATATTTATCAAGATATTACACCTAAATGAGTAAAAAGCCTTCGCCGCCAGTCTGCATAGTACTTTATAATGGTTACTTACAATAATCAAAAGATAGGTATTAAAGGGTAGGTATTAACATTTTATTATAGCATGCCTTTTACATGCTCTGTTCCATATTGTCACGGGAATTATAGAGGGGGTCCCAAGGTTTCTGCTTTTATATTCCCCAAAAATGACGAGCTTCGTAAAAAATGGTTGACAGCTATTAAAAGAGATAATTTCACTCCTACTAGTAGTTCTCGGGTAAGAAGTGCATTAAATATGTCTCAAAAAGGCCAACGGCCAAAGCCTCTGTTACCCTAATGAGGATGTAGTTATGGCTACTGCTTACACTTACCTCACTATAAGTAAAATATTGGAAGAAGAATCAAGCTTTTTACATCAAAAAGATCACAGAAAGATATTGAGAACATTGACGTTTGAGAATATAAATGGCCTGGATATCAGTCTTTTTTTAGGTCACAATTGCCCCTCACATACGTCAGAATTTATTATTAAATCCATCTTGTCCAGAATATCCAATATTTTATTGAAGAACTATGCAAAAAAAATTAATGACGTCTTTACCACAAAGACAATGTCCTATATAAAGAGAAAGAGTGAAGAAAACTAAGTTAAGCGTAAGTTTTACTTACGAACCCCCAAAAAGGTAATTAGTTTTTTTTCTATATAAAATCTTGAAACGCATATTATATTTTTTATTTATCCTCACCTATTATAGTTTAAATTTATTCCCATTTGTGTAATGCTGCAAAACATAGAAAAAATATTCATATTTTTTGACCCAATCCAGTGTAGTTTATAATTCCAAGAGCATTTACCAAGACTTTTACTAAGACAAGTAACTTCCTATACTGTCCATAATAGTATATATTTATCGAACGTTCAGTAAATTCTAAACTATGGTAGGTAAGTGTTTGCAATTGAATATTTAGTTTATATTGCTATTTTCTGTCATATATATATTTCTGGTTATTTCTTTTTCCGATGATTTTGAACACTCTATATATGCTACCTCAAGTTTAAATATTTTAACACTACCTATTTTCTGAGAAAGCAGACCTTTTTATATTATACCTATAAGTAATAATACAAAAAATTCCATACTTATGTGGAGAACTTTAGACTACCTGTATATTAAAAAATTAGTGAAATATTACGTAATCTAACCCGACATTTGTGTGAAAAATGTATATTTGGAAATAAAACAGGTCTTAAAATACGCGCCAAATAAAGCACTTCTATCTCCGCCATATTGGAAAAGGCCTTGAATGGCCTTGTGTGGAGGTGGTGGTGGGTCAGCATGTTGGCCCGGCCGCGGCCGTGTTGCTGCTTTTCAACAAGCCAGGTGTGACGTATTAAAAATAAAGTGCGGATTTTTATTCTGGGCTTTTTGTTTTTATTTATTTTCTTAAGAACGAGTTCAAGTTTTTCGAAAGTGAGATAGCAGAAAATTCTAGAATTAATTGTTTTATTCAATTATGCTAATTCCAAAATATAGTGAAAGAGTCCATTCCAAAAAAAAAATGATATTTTGCTAAAATTTTGAGAACCACTGGATCATTCCTGGGTTTTCTTTCTTGTTAATTTAATCTACTACCTATATTGTTATATTATCAAGAATATTTTTTATAACTATAAAAATTTCCAAAAAATTTTTCAAAAAATTTCAAATTTTCAAAATTTTTCTTTCGCGAAAAAACCCTCATAATCGTATTTCTAGGGTCGAAATATACTACTCCTAAAATATTTGCAAATGGTAAATTAGACATAAATTATATTTTAGATCCACAGATAAAAAAAATTGTGTAGTTAAAACACAAGTAATAAAAATTGTACTTTGAAAATCGTTTTGATTGCCGTTATGACAACGACAATGTTCTTTGACAATGCCCGTTATTAGCAGAGGAAAGTGGAAAATATGGCAAGTGCAAAAAAATTTTTGATTTAACGCTATCTGACAATAACTAGTAGCAACTCATTTAACCTAAAAATTAAAAAAAAATCATAGAACTGTTCCTAAATTTTTAACGATTTTGCAGATATTTGAGATATATGTTATATAGATATTACATACTGGATATAGATCGGTTAGCAACTCATTGAAAGCAGGAATTATAAAATACGATCCTGCTTTATCCTGCTTCAAATCCCAACCAAGACACACCTACCAATTTTGAGCTATAGTTACTTTTATTTTGGTTGCTGACTTCCCAGTTGGCAACACATGAGAAGCAGGATCGCCAAAACTGGTTCCTGCTTGCACTGCTGTACCTCTGTTGTATCCTACTCTAAATTTCATCCCACACTGATAAAAAAGATAGACTTGAACTAAAGTCGTCAACGTTCTTGAAAAAAAAATAGTGGCAAGAGAATTTATTTTAGCGTAAAAGAAAATATTTTGCCTGAAGAAAAACTCTCTTAACTCAAGAAAACAGGTTCTCTTGAAAATTCGAAAATTTCTCTTGAATATATTTTCATTCAACCATGTGCAAGTTACTTTGTTTTAAGATAATAAGAAAAATACGCGAGGAAGTACTTCATTCAAGAAACATGGCCATTTTTCCAATAGCTAAATACTCTTTTGATGAAAAATAATAACGAAATGCAAAGACGATGACGAAGGACGGTATATACAATCAGTCGGCATGGCATGGCAGTCCGATCAGTCGTACGTCGCATTTCATAGGTCGCACATCATTGTGCGCACATTTTGCATAATTTGCTTTTTAAACGCATATCGTATAACAAATTAGTGATCGTTATTAACAAGCATTTGTCATTTTTTCTGGACAAATTTTAGGATATATGGATTGTTTAAAGGAGTTTCTGAAAAAATGGAAATTAGAGCATTTATTTGCTATATTTGAAGGTAAGAGACATTTACCTAATGCACCTGTTTAGATAATGCATGCGTGACTATAGAATAGAATAAGAATATAGGTATCGATTTTTTTATGCAAATAATTACAAAAATTTTAGGATTTCAAGTCGTCGCGCGTCGTATTAAAAAATTCAAAATGTGACCAAAGTTTATAATTTTAATAATGTATTTGCTTTACTTTGATTAATCGTGATGTAACATTTTTTTGTAATTTGTAGAGTGATGAACCACCCCAAAAAATACCAAGGAGTGAAGAAGCAGAAATAACTACTATCGAGGAAAATAATATCACCTTTACTTACTACAGACCAGGAAAACCTAAATTTATCAGAAAATAAAATACCTCGTAATATGCCTGTATATGCCTGTATATGATTATAGTCTTCTCTTAGATCAAAACGAGTATCAAAATAAATTTTAGTTGGGTCAATAGTATTCGCTATTGGTTTAAGAAAAGTGTCTCTTTAATCAAGAAATATCCCTTTTCAATCAAGAATTTTTGCATGAATCAACGAAACTATTGTTCTTGTAGCAAGAACTTCTTTGCATATTAATTTTGGGTCAAGAGTGAAATGCTTTGGACATGTAGTACTTTGGAAATTTGTAGTTTGAAATTTTGAAAAGTCATAAATTAAAGGAATATTTTCTTACGCGTAAAAAATAGTTTTTTATGTGTAACAAATTTTTTTATACGTAAAAAATATATTTTTTTCTGTAAAAAAGTTTTTATCAGAAATAATAAGTTTTTGACGCGTAAAAATTAGTTTTTTACGTGTAACAAATAGTTTCTTACACGTAACAAATAGTTTTTTACACGTAAAAAATATATTTTTTTCTGTAAAAAAGTTTTTTATCAGAAACA